TTATTAGTCAATTTTGAATAAATGCGTATTTATCTTAGAATTTTAATTTTGTTTTGTGCTATTGCAGAATGTATGTTAATAACGGAATATAAATATTTTATTTATTTTTTGTTCATTATGTTAGTATTTTGCTTTTTTTTTTTTTTTTTGGGTTTTTCAAAGTTTTTCCTAATTTTAAAATTTTTTTTTTTTTGTTCATTATGTTAGTAATTTGCTTTTTTTTTTTTTTGACGTATTCCAAGTTGTTCCTGAATATGAAAACTTGTTACTTATGTAAGTTATGTGTAAACAAATCATTAACTGAAGACTTCAGGTAAATTTATATGTTTGGGTTCTTGTAAATATTTCAAGCATCCGCATAATTTAATGTAACCTGAAAATTATTTCTTGGATGTTTCTTTTCTATTACCATAAGTATTTTACGAATAGGCTGAAACTACTTGTTCGCCGTTAGTTATACTAATATCTTTCTTCTCAAAATAATCAAAGTGAATTTCCCTGTAAACCAGTAGTCGTGTGACGTTGCTATATCATCGTCATAACAACAAGACCACGAAGTGCTAGTACACACGCTACCTAGCGGAAATGATTAAAAATAAGCTTCATTCTCATGGTTTTAATTCGCTTTTGTCACTAGGACCAGTTACTTACATCTGTTCTACGTCACGATAAAAGTAATTAAATAAAAAAAATTGCTTTCATCTTTCAATGTATATCAATACATTTGTTGTTGAGAATCTATAATTTATGGCTTGGATGATTATACATTTACGTATCACCAGCAAGAAAAACGGAAATTATCATCAATGATCGCTGCTTTCAATGAAAACATTTGTAAAAAAAAATTAAAGTAGAAGAAACTGAATGGAGATTATGAAGCACGTGACTCTTCCTTTTAGAAAGAAATGAGCGACATAGTCTTTTTTTTTGTTATATATTTAAGTTATTTGAGGGTATATATGTGTGTGTGTGTATTATGTAACATTATCTTACGTTGGTGCTCAAATGTCATTTAATGAATGATGAAGGAATACCACATTTACACATTTTTGTGTAAGCAAAGTTCACAATTAACTTTATCCTAGTGACCGTAACTACCGCAGAACAATCGTTCTAAAAACTGATAAATCCTTAGAGCTTTCGACAGGGGTAAAGGAATGTCCCCCCCCCCCTGCCAGAAGGAAACTGGTCCATTCGTCGAAAACGCTAGGTTTTATTGCCATTTTTGTATCTCACGTATTTGTGTTTCTGTCATAAACACAACAGAACATAACATTCATAAAATTAACGTGTACATCAAGTAGAGCAAATATCATATATATATTGTTTCGTTTCTCTACTTGTACATCAAAAAACACATTAATTTTATTTATATATATTTGATTACAAAAGAATAATAAACAATTTTGGTAATTTGGCTACTGTGTTACACTATAAGTGAAACATAATAAAATATTAAGTTACAACTGTACATTTTATGCAAAAACAAAAACGCTCAATATTTAGTTATGTCCAAAACGTTACTATATATTATTCCCATCTTCAAAATACCAAAACAAATACATAATAAATTATTCATTCAGTGACATCTGGAAGTTCGTTTGGACTCTAAAGTTAAAATATTGTTATCAAAACAATTTTTTTCTTTTGCAATGAAAATAAGTTTCTTCCCTCAAGCTTAGTATTGGCAGTAGCAGTAGCTAATATTATTGATTTTGACTAGTTTTTAAGTTCCTCTAAGCAACGCCATCATATGTTACATTATTAAGAGACTGGCAAGTTATATAACTTCTTTTCATGTTTCATAAATTTAAACGCCATGAATGTTTTTGGATCAACTATATTTTTATGGTTTTCCTCTCATTTATGAAATATCTCTAAGTGTATTGGGAATACAATTAGCACTAATGAACAGTTTTTAAATTGAACTATTTGCTTCATATATCAGTGGTACGCGAGAAACTTTGAAAAATGTTAAAAAGGAAAATATACCTCAAGCCTCAAAATTGGTGGATATCAACTAGCCAGCGATTTGCGTTCGCGAATTGTTGACTCACCCTTAAGTTATTGTTATTGTGTCTATGTTCTTATTGATACAAATCACTCTTAAGTTGTTTATTTTCAAATAAATTATGTGTCAAAGGTCTGACTGCAGGTACGTGGTCTAAAAGTTTGAGAACCACTCGACTTACATGATGTATTTAATAAAATCACTGAATTTTTATCTTTAATTATCTGAATGTGTTATGTGTAGTATTCGAGTGCAAAGTCTTAAAAATGTCCTTTAAGAAACACATTGATGCATTGATCCAGTATTTGTATATCTTGAGTTTTGCACACACAACCTGTTTTATTTATTAAATCGCCAACTAACAAGTATAAAATTCATTGATTGGCTTCAATAATGTATCAGTACCTTACCCTCTCCTCCTCACGAAGGCAGGTTAATACGTCGGTAGCGCTAGGGTTTCATCGTTTTCCCCCTCTCTTTGAAACATGATTTCCCAACTATTTTCCATCTTATTTGTATTTTTTTTAAACTTTCATGAATGGATTGTGTAAGTTATCGTTCCTAGATGGCGCCACAAATCACGGCGGATTCATGAATACAGACAGCTAGCACGATCAATGAATGTAGGTAAAGGTTTATAGACTGTAACCGGTTGCTGTGGGTTTTGAAGACCCGCCCATTGATTCAGTAGAAGTGGCTATGACATGCTGAATGTATGGGCTGTTTCATTCATCTCAGTGTTTTCTGAATGAAATCTGGTTAGTCTGTCTCTTCTGCCATGACGAGTACATTTTATACTATTGATCTATTTCAAGGAATGTGCTAAATATAATTTACATCTAAATATCGGATATTGAAGCTTTTATTAAAAGTTTACATTAGAAAAATATGCAGTTATGATCGCAAAATTAAGTATAAGTATCGACGCTGATGCTTATTTTAGTGTATTGTCAGTGTTACATAAAGTGCACAAAATGTATGAAGAAGATCTGACACCGCTTTCTTTTGAGAAATTATATTATCCTAGTCATGAGAATAATACAAATTCTGCGAAATATATTAAGTTCTTTGATTGAAATAATTGTACTCTTTGCTATCGACGACAAGATACAATTATAAAAATTGTTCAGAAAAATGGCAATTTAATTTTTATTACTATTTCACTGCTATTTTTGGAAAAAATAAATCTGGAGTCTAAAACTGTAAGTCCAATTTGTGAAGAAAAATGGTAATAAGTTTTATAAAAAAATATTTTTAAGCTTAGTTTTTAAAAATGACAAAACATATACTCACTAGAGAGTG